TTGAACTTCATTGCCTTATAATAGCACGAAGGAATGATGCTTTGAGCTTCTGTTGCCACAAAGAAAATAGCACTGGGCTGAAAAAAGAAACAGAAATCGAGTCTTTATTGCCCTGCGAGTCTTTATTGCCCTGCGCTGCTTTCTGTGGTAACGATTTTAATTAAGGAAAAAGGGATGGGTAAAAAAACAACCTCCTGTCTGGAAGTATCCACAGTGATGTGAAATGTGTAATAATAAAGCTGTTTGTGAGGTGACAGCAGGAAACGTTTAAACCTCACTCCGGAAGCCCGAATAAATAAATAAATATAAATATTTATATATATTTATGTTTTATGGTCTTTCTAGGTAGAGAATATGTCATTAAGCTTGGTAAGGTATTCACACCAGTTAGATATTAACACCAGGCACGTGGTGGGATTTTGGGGTTGTCCTGTGCAGGGCCAGGAGTTGGATTTGATGGTCCTTAGAGGTCCCTTCCCACTCAGAATATTCCACAATTATATTTTGTGAAAAGGTGACATAGTGGGACAGAAGTCAAATGTACTGTGTATTGTGACTTTTTAATTTTTCTTTAGTCTCCCCAGAACGAAATTAAACGTAATATGGGTTAATATGAAGGTTGGGCTCGATGATCTTGGAGTTCTTTTCCGACCTTAATGATTCTATGAGTGGAAAAAAAGCAATATTAAAGGTAAATGTTAAAAGCTAGAAAGTAGTATTAAAGGTAAAAGCGGATTATGGTGGGATCTGCTGGATCCACGGGGGCTGTTCCCACTGTGATCTGTGGGGGGCAGTGCCCATCTTCCTTCCTCCCAGATTTTGTGGGCTGATAAATAGAGGTCCCCGGGGCAGAGCTTCACCTCTGGGATGTGGGATCACCCTCCAGCCTCTCCTGGGCTCTTCCTGAACCTTCCTTGGGACACTGAGAAACCCAGTGGGAAAATGGCCAATATTTGTGGAGGCCCTGATGAAGGGAGTGCTGATGGCAAAGGGGCTCTGTTTATATAAAAACCTCATTTTCTAAAGCAATTTAGAGTGTTTGCTGGTGCTGTTTGCTCGTCTGAACCCGTGCCTGGTGTCCTGTGAAGAAATAAAACCAAAGAATACCTGGATATCACCATTTTATCCTGTCCCACTTGGCTTTACTTTCCAGCATAGAGTAAGAAAAGAGGGGAAAAAAAAAATCCCCCCTAAAAAAGACACGAAAGAGCAGCTCTGACCCTCTGCCCTGCTCAGGGGAAGCAAATGAGCTGCGAATTTGGGCAGCTTTGCTCCTCGAAACTGTTTTATTTCCCCCCCTGCCCCCTCACGGAGGTGGCAAATGTTCTAATCAAAAGCAGGTCACCAGAGAGCGAGGCACGAAGGAGCAGCTGTTGCATCCAGTCAGGCACAATATTCCTGTGCCAGAAATGATTCATTTGGGCTGTGCAATATATATGGAAATGTGCTGCAGGAATAACCCATTGTGTTCACCCAGCCCTGACAGAGCTGAGCTGGGCTTTGGGTTCCTCAAGTGCCTTTTCCTGGCTTGGATGTGTCAAATAAACACCAGCCAACCACCTTTGGGTCACTGGGCTGCACTTAATCTCTCTCTAGATTTGCTTCTTTTGGGCTGACATGGCTGAAAACACCACTGAGAACATCCACTAAATGAAGGCTCTGGCAGGGAGCTGGATGGAGGGGGAATAAAATCCTGCAGCAGGAGCACTCTGGGTGGACAGATAAAGGGGGAAGAATAAAGGGAATGGAGTAGGTGGACCGTTGCAGAGGTCTTGTGGTATTCTGAAAAAACATCAGAGCTGAAAGGGATTTCGACTCTTTTTTGCTGGAGTAGAACATTCCGTGTTTTAATCTCCCAAAGCCTTTTTTGGGGGGAAGTTCCTCAGCACTGAAAGCTGGTTTGCCCCCACCTTCTCCTTTATTGTCACGTCCTTTGAAGTTCTCTTCAAAAAGATGATGAAGCCCAACTTCCCCCCTTTACTCTGCAGCCTGTAATGAATATCCAGCTTTGTTTAAGCAATTAGCTTGGTGGGGTGATTTCTCTGGTGCTGTTTAAAAAATAATAAAAAAAAAAAGAAGTTCCCCGAATCCTGAGTGGTTTAGACATGTTTTGAAAAAACACTGAGCCCAACAGCTGTGCAGTGGACTAATCTGACAGTACAGCAGCTGTCATAACAAAAGCAGAGCTGGTTCAAACACAGCTCCTTTGTTGGGTGATTGAAAATGATTTAAAGGAAAAGGTTATTTACTGCTTCTCCCGTGTGGGGCTGGAGCAGTGACTGTTCTCTGCAGATGAATGGGCTCTTAACCACTTCTTTGCTCCAGTTTAGAGGCTCAGGTAGTTTGGGGGACTCGGGTTTTGTCTGGCTGCTTTGCTGCTGGCTTTGTCTCCAGGCCCTCTGTGATTCTGGAATCATCTGCTGGAGGTGCCTGCCCGGGTTTTGGGTTGATGGCAAATCACTTGAGCACACTCACCCCCCACATCTGTGATCCCCGAGTGCTCCAGGGGATGCACAGCAGGATAATTAAGCAATGCCACTTGTAAAGATGGCCTGAACTGGGGCTTTTTAAAAGTATCAAATTATGCAACCCGGTGTAGATATTTCAGGTTAATTCCCTCATATTTTAAGGCCCTTTCTTTCCCCCCTTTTTTCCTCATTCAGACAGAAGTGCTGGAGTAACCTTTGAAACAAAAGACTTCAAAGTGACAGCAGCCTGTGCCTCTGGCTATACTGAAGTAAGTAATCTACTAAAGCATGAATATTTTATGTCTCTACAGCTAAATGAAGGAAATTACAAGTTGATATAAACTGATGTTCTTTGTATTAGCTCATGACAAATGCAGCAATTACCCCCAATCAGTTAATTACAGCATCCTTCCCTGGCCTGCCTTCCACTTCCACCAGCTTTCTTTTGTAAGAGGGGCGAGTTAAACTCCCAGTTCCTTTGTGCTGCTTCTTGGGAGAAGGGCTTTGTTTGTGCTGTTGGAAATTATAGCAATTTTAATAGCACACAGTGACAGTCCCTGGTGTTCCCTCAGCCCCATCTTGCTGCTTCCTCTCTCTGGTTTGTGCTCCTCACACCCGGAGGTGTCTGAGGATGCTCTGGAGCTCCCCTTTTGTCTGGCTGACAGGACAGCAGCTCAATAACCCTCCTCGAGGGTGCATTAAAGTGAGAGATGAACAATTAGGGGGGTTGGAGGGTCGCTGCTTTAGTGGCTGAACTTCAGGTGGGTTGTAAACGTGGGTGGCCGTGGGAGAATTCACCGCTGAGCTGCTGAAAGCAGAACAGTCTCCACGAGCTCCTCCGAGCCCCTTTCAGCTTCCAGCTCCTTTGTGAGAGCAGCTCTGTGAAAACACACTCCCATTCTTCTGAGTTCTGCACAGACAGAAGAGGGAACCCTGGGAGACCGTCTCCTGCTGCTGTTAGAAAATCATGAAAGTGGTTTTTTCTTCCTTGCAAGGGAACACAGGGATCAAAGGGGGGGGGCCCTGACCTGTGGTCGTGGTTCAGCTCGAGGCCGAGTTCGAGTGTTCTGCTGCTGCTGCTTTGCTGTCAGTCCTCCAGCAGCAGATCCCAGACATGCCCCACCTGCCATTCCTGGTCATTCCTTGCCTGCTGCATCCCAGACACCTCCTTTTCCTGGGAATAGGAGGCGTCCAGGGTGAGAGTTGAGCAGCGCTGGGTTATCCCAGAGCGGGCAGTGACAGGGCAAAGGGGGGGTGGTTTTAAACTAAAAGAGAAGAGATTTGGATTGTTTGGAAGAAATTCCTCCTTGGGAGCGTGGTGAGGATGGAATTCCCAAAGAATTGTGGCTGGAAGTGTCCAAGGCCAGGTTGGGCAGGGCTTGGAGCAACCTGGGCTAGTGGAAGGTGTCCCTGCCCAGGGCAGGGGGTGGCACTGGATGAGCTTTAAGGTCCCTTCCAACCCCAACCATTCCATGATTCCATGATCCCTCTGTGCCAATCCCCTGGGTCAATCTCCAAAGTTCATTCTAACAGAAGCCTGGCTTTGTGGTTCTTGGGTTTATTTTATTTTATTCTGCTCTAATTGCAAGGTTCCTGTTTAACTCAGTGACAGGATTCTACATCTAAAATATAACTTTGTAAGGTCAGTGGTGAGAATTCAGGTTTCCCCTCGTGGATCCTTCAGGAAAAGGGGCCTGACCCACTCCCAGTTATTGACACTGAGGATAAAATCTGCACGTGACATCTGTGAGATTCCAACTGAGCCAGAAGATCTTCCCCTAAAGGAGAGAGAGGGAAGTGAGATGCTTTGCTCTGGAATTTCAATTTTATCCAGGAGGTAGAAAACCCCACATGTATTTCCATTCTTCCCATGAAACTCCAGCAGGGTGGGATTTAAGGGGCACATCCCTCGTGGGGAGGACACACGTGGCATCTCTGGATCTGAAGGACAATCACTTGTCACTCCTCTGGGGTGGCAGCAGAGAAAATCTTTGGGCTGGGTGCTGTCTGTCCTTTGGTGTTTTTCCTCCCTTTTTTTTTTTCCTCAACTGTCTCACTTCTCTTTGCCCCCTCAGCCCCTTTTCCCAGCTTTGCTCAGCTCCCACCTTGGAAGTGTGGATGGAATTACTGATGGACTGACATCCCGTTACCACCCACCTCCTCCAAGGGTTTTGTTTTCAAGCTGGTTTTTTTTTTTGGCTTTTCTTTTTAAAGCACAAAACACTCCGACATTTAACCCCCAAAGGACAGAAAACCAACTTTCTCTGCGATTTAAGTGAAAAATTTCGAGGTGGATCAGGAGTTAACTCACCAAACTCTATTAAAATATTATTATTTTCATAGAAACTAAGAATTCTACACTGATTTATTTTTTTTTTCCCTCACATCCTTTTAAAATCTGGTTTTTACACAGCCTGCTCCTGTGTCTTATCTCTGCCTGGCCCATGAATGATTAACCCTCCTGCCTTTGAGACCTGGAGGACAAAATGCTGCTGTTCAAAGTCCCTTCCCTGGCTCAGACGCTCATCCAGCTCTTTCCCAGAGGCACTTTGGACCCGGCTCTGGGATGGATTGACCCTTTGGGTTGCTCAGGAGGGCAAATGGGAACACTGGGAACACCCAGGAGCTGCAGGTTGTGATCTCAGCAAACTGCTTTTATTCAGCACTCTGGGAACCCTGGCTGGGGCTCAGCTGCTGTGTCCATAAACCCCTTTCCTGGGAGCAAACAGCTCTTTTCCAGCTGGGCACAAACATGGAATTATCCTTTATTTTTTCTGAGGAGCAGCTCAGAGCTTGTTCTGCTGAGTGGAGCTGCTTTCCTGTGCAGGAGGGTGGGTTTATTTGGGTTTTTTTTTGTCTTTTCCAAGTGCCTGCCTGTCTGCAGGGATGTCTCTGGGTGTTTGTCAAACAGCTGGTGGAATTCTCCCCGTGGGATAAAGCTTGGGATTGAGGGATCCCGGAGCTCTCCTCTCCTGTCTGCTCCTGTTAAGGTGACTCCCTGCACTGCAACCAGCTCAGGGCCCCGCAGGAGGGAGAATTAATTAATTAACTAGTTAATTAACTGTCAGCTCGCCAGATCTCTGGGAGAAATGACAGGGGGAGGATGGATGGTGTCTCTCCAGTCCCCTGCTGGTGCCAAAGCCCCAGCCCCAGATGCTTGGGCAGGTCGTGGTTTTCCTCTTCATCTGCAACAACCTCATCTCTTCTAAAAGAAAAGCCTCTCACTGGGCTGCTGGGGGGGACTTTTGCTGCTTTTTCCCCCCGGTGTTTTCTCACTCAGTGCAGCTCCTCACACCTTTCCCAGCCAGGAGTGGGTTGGTGCTCCTTGGCTGGAGTTGGCTCAGCCCGAAGCGAGGTGAGAAAGAGGGGAAATCAAACCTGACTGTGGGGCTTATTTGTGTAATTTGCAGGAATTCCTGCGACTCTCCTGCTGTTCCCATGGAAACAGATGTTGGGTTGCAGGAAAGTGCTGTAGGTTTTCAGGACTATTATTTTTTCCCCCCCCCTTTACCTCCTTCACCTCCTTTATCATTTCCAAGCAGCCTGAAAAAAAATATTCTTCCGCTTTTTTGAGGCACAAATGTGGAGTGTGTGAGCTCCATCATCCCCAGACAGACAGTTATTTTCCAGCCTGTTGGCTCTGACTCATCCACCAGGCAGGTTGGAACACCTGGGGTTTTATGGCCAAGCTGCTTTTGTCACATTTAAACTCCCCTTCTTCCCTTCATTCCTCATCTCTCTCAAGAGAGAAAGACATTTCTCTTGTCTCTCTCAGGTGTTGGCTGGTGCAGACTCCTCATCCCTGAAGGTGAGGCTCCATCCCTCCCTCCAGGAAATTAGGGTGGCCAGTGAAAGGTCATTGGTGGAGTTTCTTTGTTGTTTTGTTTTTAAATGGGTGAATGAAATGTTATGAAAATGAAGGAGGATCTGTTTTAATTATTAGTTATTATTTATATTTAGTTTACTTATATTAAATTTTTTAATATTTATATTTTATAATTATTATATTTATATAATAATTATATAAATATAATATATATAAATGATATGTAATTATATATTTTATAATTATTATATTTATAATTATTAGTTCTTAAAATTTAGTTATTAGTATCAGGTATGTGGGGCTGTGAGGATGAGGATGATGAAGGCAGAGCTCTGGGCTGTATCCCACCATCCCTGCTCCCTGTTTTATCATAATCCATCGTGTTTTTCCTTCCATCCAGAGGCCCCTGGTTGACCTGAATACCCCACTCACCACAGGATGAGGAGCCCAACCAAACAGTGAGACAGGGAGACAAAAAGCAGGAAGGGAAATTTAAAAGGAGGGTGTAAAACCCCCCCAAAAAAACCCACAAAAAATTAAATCTCAACCAACCAACCAACCAAAAACCCACCTGGGGCCAAACCCAGGATCCTGAGCCAAGGCGCCCACGGAGCAGGAGCTCCAAAATGTTTGGAAAAACACCGACCTGCTGTTGTGTTCCAGGAGGGGGGGGTTGTAAACCAGGGTTTATCCCCAGCTCCAAAGTGGAATCTGCTGTGCAAGGGGATTCCAGGGACCAGCTGCAAATCTGGCACAGCCCCTGGGCCACCACCAGCCACAGGGGCCACCTCGTGCCAAGGCAGCTTTGAGCTGGTGCCCAGCACGGGAACGTGGGGATGGAGAGGAGCTGCCAACCCTGGGGCTTGGATATGGGCTCATCCCGGAATATTTAGGCTGGAAAAGACCTCCAAGGTTGCTGAGCCCAACCTGTGCCCGTGAGTGCCACGTCCAGTCCTTTCCTGGACACCTGAAAACCCTTTCCAGGGTGAAATTCCTGCTGGAAATCACACCAGCCTGTGTCCTGCAGCCCCTGCTTCCCTTTCTCTACTCCCAGAAAACTGGGCTTTCCACACCCAGCCTTTCAGTGGTTTGAGAAGACCTTTTATGATGTTTTTTTTTTAAATTAAACTTGTTGATTGTAGCAGGAGCTCAGAGCTTGAAGGAGACCTTGGTTTGGAGCTCCTGGACTCACCTGGAACCAGTTGGCTAAATAATAATAACAACTAACAGATACTGAGTGTCCAATAATGCCAGACTGCCAACAGCCCCCCTGGTAAAATCCAGTTTGGTGGCATCTTCTGAAATCCCTTCAGAAGTGAATTCTCTGCACTGAAGATCCTCGTGTGTTCGATTGGCCCCAAGCTGGAGGGGTTTATTTAAATACAAATTGAATCCTCCCACTGGAAAGCTAAACAGGAGATTAAAATAGCTGCCAGGGGATGGGGAATTTGCTTTATGAAGAGTCATTTGACTCAACTTCTCGCTGATTTCCCCCATTTTTCTTGTTTTATGGCTGGAGATGCGTTGGAATTGTTGCCTCTCCCAGCCAGCAGGAATGAACCTGTGGGGCTCAACTTTAACCCCCCTCCAGTCACCTCTGGCACTGTCACTGCTCCAGGGAAGTGGCCACTGGAGAATTGAGTCCCTCTGATGTGGAAACAAGACTTTTCCAGCTCTGGAAGCTGCAGGTTCGAGGGATGATGGTGCTCAGAACTCTTGTGCTGGTGGGAAAAGCTGCACGAGCAGAATTCCCTGGGGGTGCCAAGGACTTTCAGAGCTCCAGAACCCCTTCAAGGGGGTTCCTAAAGGATGAGAAACATCTGCTGGGCTGAACTACAACCGGGATATCTCTGGGGAGGAGCTGGGAAGTTTGATGGAAGGTGAAGTGAAAGGATCTTTTTTTCTCTCTCTTTTGGCTTTTGCTTAGAAATGACTTTTCTGCAAATTTATTCTGCGACACTTTCGGGAGAGGAACACGCTTTTAACAGGTTTTTGGAGAAGCAGGTCAGGGAAGTGAAAGCCTGGGATGACTGGCAGGCTGGGAAACGGGCCCGAGGGTCCCCCATCCCACCGGGGCCTCTGCACCCTCCGGGCTCCCCGTGGGACGGCTGG